AAAGTTCTGTCATACAAAATCCTTTAAAAAATTCTAAGTTTTGCCGTTACTCGAAAACCAAGGAGAACCTATTAGCCTACAGCGCCGCGTGGGTCCCATTGTATTGAAAGAAACTAAGTTAACATGTCCGTTGGCCTGCCAGAAGGGTTTAAAGTGAACACGAGATCGCGGTCACATGGTATCCCCCATGGCCTGAACGGAGAGTTTTAGTGTCGTCCATATGGTGCCCCCCATGGCCTAAACGGAAATCGAACATTTTTGGGCGGCGTTTAACGTGTTAATATTACAGATAAACCAAAAATTACTGAACAATAGATTTATAGTTTTTAATTAAATCTATTTACCTATTTTCAATAGTGAGCTTAATCTCCTGTAAGTGTAAATATAACCAGGGCTTGCATGACCGAAAAATTTTGGGCTATAATGCTTAAAGGTATGATGTCATATCTTTTTATTACGATATTTGAAAATAACTATACAGAAATTTTTCGGTATCGAAAAATAACAGTAGCGTTATTTTTTTCGCTACCTAATTATCAACTTAAAACTTATACGTTTTCTTTTTGTGGTTCAAAATTAGTTTGTTTCCAATTACTTTCTTAGAATTTTTTAATTGTCATGGTCAAAACAATGAATACTTTTGCTTACCAGTATAATTTTGGTTATATAAATGTATAAGAATATCCCTAAAAATCTCTGAAAGAAGATGTAGTGACAAAAATTGAGAAAGGTATGCTGAGGTGGTTTGGCTATGTTGAAAGAATGAATGAAGAACGATTGACGAAAAAAGTGTATAAGGCGAGTGTGAATGAAAGTGTTGGCAGGGTTAGACCTAGGCGGACATTTCTAGACCAAATCAGGGACGTCTTGAAAAAAGGCCAGGTCAAGAGTACCCTAAACCGTAGAGCATGTATGAAGGCAATAATAAAAGTGGACGAAGCGAAACAAGTATGTAATGATCGTAGCAAGTGGAAAGAAGTCTCTGCCTACCCCTACGGGAAAGAGGCGTGATTATATGTATATATGTATGTAAAAATAGCGACTATATGCTCGTTTGTCATCCTTCCCCTTTTAGTTTAAATTGTATTGTTTTGAGCAATAAAAATTATTATTATTATAAAAAAAAAACTGATTTACGGACGATAAGTGACGCCCATTCCACAGATAGAGATACTCTAAACAGCAGTCGCTATTACAAGACGTTGTCATAAGATTTCAATTATCGCGGAATAGACTTAACCAATCTATACAAATAAATAAAATTGAAGTGTCTGTTTGTAATGTCTAAATAACAGCTTTTTACTAAATGCATATGAAAGTATATACGGTACCTATAACAAAATCACAATTTTTAAAATTTTTGTCTGTCTGTCTGTCTGTCTGTCTGTCTGTTTGTTCCGGCTAATCTCCGAAACGGCTGGACCGATTTCAATGGGACTTTCACTGAACTATAGCTGGTGTTATAAGGAGTAACTTAGTCTACTTAATTTAGAAAAAGAATTAGGGTTCCGCGCAACATAATTAAAACCCTAAATTACACGCGGGCGAAGTCGCGGGGAACAGCTAGTGGATAATAATAATCCTGCATGATATGATAATTTGAACTTTTTATAAAAAAAGTTTGTTTTTGTGATAGCAGACATTTAGTTTTATTACTTTGAAAAATTAATTAAGAAATACAAATTTGTTTGAGGTGTGTAAAATAATTACTTGTGTTTTGACAAATGGAAAGCTAGAATATTCTATACTATTTTTGGTAGTCATGAGGAAAAAGGCCTGAAGTACAATAGGTAATATATGATCGACAATAGTATTTCGTAAGCTTTTGATAAACTATTGTCTAAAAACACAAAAGATTACGAAATTACTGAACATTAGATTTTTTTTTTGTATATATTTTTTAATTTCCACAAAAGATTTGTGCAAGTTCTGATTCAGTTGCAAGTCATAAACCGTATAGAAACAGCAACAAGTCAAAACATTTTTTTAGTGAAAACTGAGTAAGAAGATGAAAATGCTGTTATTTAACCAACCAACAACATAAACTATCAACTGATACTTAAAAACTTGTTTTATTGGCTATTATTAACCGACTTCAAGAAGGAGGTACTCAATTCGAATGTATGTTATGCAATATTTTCGCAGATTGTGAACGAGTTTTGATGATTCCTTTTTTATTAAATAGGTTATACTGCAAAGGTGGTCCTATTTGGGATAAAAATAAAGTGTAATGTTTTTAAAACACACAATTCAATAATTTAACACCAAAAGACAGAAATTGTAATATGCCAGCATCTTAAACTGACACTTCAAAAATGAAAGGCATTGTTTACTGGATTAAAAATAACATTTAGGTGAGAAAAGGTTTTTGAATATATAGAGAAATATACTTAGTCACTTTCTTAATCATCATCATTACATTCCATTACAAGTCCACTGCTTAACATAGGCCTCTCTCAGGCCACAAAGCAGTCCTGAGCCACCTGTATCTATCTTTTTGTCACTCCATCACTCCAACCTACACTACTTACCAGTACGAAGCTGCCATTTGAGAACCTTTCTTCTCCATCAGTTGTCGATTATTTGAGTATTAGTGATTTTGAGCTTCCTCATTAAAAAATAATTTTCTCTATATTAATTTCAAAATAAATGTAGAGAAAATTACCAACAGTTGGTCTTGTTACTGGTTACTTAAAGAGATAGTGAAAAGTAAGCCTCTATTTCAGCCAAAAGACAAATTACAGAAAAAAGTAAAGTTTACAACTGTATCTTCCCAATATCTATCATATGGTTGCCAAACTTGACCAATTACAATATACCACCATACCCAAAAAATGGAAGTGTCCCAATATGGAATGAAAGGAGCATGCTACAAATATAATTCAGAGACAAGACAATAACTTGCCAAACATCGAGAAATTTATGTTGTTGTTGTAATGTGTGTTGTGTGTAAATGATGTTTTGGTATAGGTATAGGTACAGTGTAAGGATGACAACTTAAATGGCAATGGTCCCAACATTTGATGCAATACAAGCTAAACAAGCGAACCAAATCCATAACTGTTCTGTAGCATAGATGGGACAAAGAAATAAAAGGAAAGATAACTTGCCGAAAGCTTAGGAGGAGCGCGACACCCTGAATTTGTCATATGAGGGCCTAATTCCATGTATTTCAAATTTTAATAGTTGCTGATGCCAATTCAATTTATTATTACACATCTTATCACTAAATATTATTTGATTTAATGATGATCATAATGCACTAGTTCTATATTGCACATAATACTCTATCATATTTTTGTATATTACAAAATTATTATATTTTCATTTACATCTCTCATAATTTAATTCAAATTGATGCTTGTTGTAACATTTTGCAATAACAAAATTAAATTAGAAAGAAATGATTTAACTTATAAGTAACAAAGCAAATGCAATCAAACAGTGTAAATAAAGAGGAACAAACAACAAATCTTTGTATCCGGGTGCTTTCAAATGTTGACCTTTAGTCAGAGATATCCTACGCAGTGCAGATATCATTCAAAGTTTTAAAGTAGATTAGAGCACATACATTTAAATGTTGCTTTTAAATATTTAGAGTTTCTATTCATGTTATAGTTATTTTGTAGGACAACTGACCTTTAGGCTGAAATAGAGGTCCATGAAAGAGAATCCATGAAAGTTTCCCCATGTAAAAAGTCAACTGCAATGTTATTAGGGCAACTAGGATATATAGCATTGTAAAATCAAAATGAAAACAAAGGACATCTACATGTCACATAGTGGAGAATCATAGTAGTTAGGAATTAGGTCGTTCCTAATTTCCAGACATGATATCTCCCTTCTGAGATCCCTCCTCCTTATATGTTTTGGATCGCTTTTAACCTACACAAATCTTTTAAAAGACTTCTCCATCAAAATACTAACTGACAGCATAGTGGTACTACAAGCTCTGAGTTGCAATGTGGTGAACAGAGAACTAATAAATGAATGCCGTCAACAACTAAATGAGGTATGTAAACAAACAATGTGACTCTGCAATGGATCAAGGGACACAGTGGAACCCGGGGGCAACAGACACAATAGACGAACTGGCTAAGGCTGACTACAGGACCGGAACCGATCATACCAATTCCTTTTGGTAAGATTCATTCACTGGTATGAAAAACTTCACTAATCAACATGCTCAGCTTTGGAAAAATTTAGTAAACTGTAGGCAAGCAAGGGAGGCCCTGCCAGAAATAAGCAGTCATTTAATCAAGATCTTAATGAGATTGAACAAGCCACATATCAGGATAGCAACTAGCGCTATTACAAGACATGGCTCTTTTTACAAACATTTATTTACTATACATTTCACAGATATGTACAGCATGTATGGGGGGAGGACACAGCGGCCCACGTGTTGATGGCATGTCCAGAGTTCGCTAAATACAAGGCTAAACATCTTGGCATGCTGGGACCACTTCCCGAAGTTGCTTGCAACATGAAAAGACTGTTGAACTTTTCGGGGAGATTTCATGACTTGAATGATCATAACATTCCTGCCTACACAATATACGTTTAAACGTGGAGTTGCGGAAAATAGAACTAAACTAAACTCAGTGAATTCTAACATACTAATGTAGCTTCGACAATTGTGTTTATCATTTATTTTAGGTACTTCAATAGTACAATCATTACACTTATAAAAAGAAAAAAAAATTAAATTACACACTGTATACAAAAAAAGCATTTATATACACATTATACACTGGTGAGCTATTCTCCTTAATAAACATTGACATTGGTGAATCATCAAAACATGGATGGACATGAGAAAACCATACACAATAGTACACGAGACCAAAAAATTATACATGAAACACAATTTAATATCCAGTGGTTAGATATTTATCACTGTTTGGCCTATTACTGAATACTTATTATATCAGATAGGAACATTAATGTTTCTTACATTTTAACATTTAGGTAACAATTACAAGTAAAATATTACTTACATTTTTTGCCGGTTGTTTCTTCTTATCCAATTTTCTTTTCTCATCAATTAGCAGGCCCCTTGGTTTCATTCCTATTGCATCTGCACCCTCATTTTTTTCAATCACATTTGTTACATTTTCAACTGTGAATTTGGGAGCACAATCAACTTCATCCTCATCACCTTTGTTTTCATCAGCTTCATACAGTGAATCATCTGTCAAGTCACCAATAGTTCTTGTAAGTGAATGTGACAGTTTACAAGTAGGATGGTAAGAATCACATCCAGAATCACTCTCTGAATCTGAATTGTCAGATTCATCAGAGTTGTCAAAATCTGAGCTATCAATGGCAACCTCTTGGCTACTAAGTTCATCTCCAAATACATCATTTGAGAGGTAACAGCTGTCAGGTGAATCCTCAAAAACAATAAAAGAGTCTTCAGAATCACAATCTGATAGATTTCTTTTTCTTAATGACCTAGGACTATCAGTAAAAACAATTTGGAAAGAATCTTCACTGTCTGTTGCAGAAGTTGAGTAAAATCTACCAGTTACTTCATCAAAGTAATTGCTAGGGTCAAGGTATTCTGGTGAAGAATCAGAGCACTGGTCATCTTGTGATTCTAAGCTATTATTTAAGTCACTACTATTAATATCTTTAACAACATCTTCAATAAACAATTGGTTAAAAGTTTTATCTCCCTCTATAGTATTATTTTCTTTTTTCTTTTCTGCACTAGATATAATTCCATCTGTACAGTTAGCTGGAATTGTAATAGGTTGGCTCTTTTGCTCCTTTTGTGTAGGTTCTGTTGTTATAGCAGATTTAGGGCCAGTTGTAGATTTACTATTTTGCCTCTTGTCTAAAAGAGCCTTCAATGCATTTATTTTATCTTCACATGAAGACACAATATGGACATTCTTTTCATTATTTGTGTATATATCTATATTATTATCTTCATTTTTATCAGGCAGTGCCTTACTTATTTCCGTATGTTTTGTTACTGGTAAATATTTAGTATTAATTTGTGGGGCATCAGATACAAATAGTTCTGGATTTTGATAACTAAGTGGACTATAATATTCCAAAATAGTATCGTTAGGAAGGGTTTCAAAATCTTCAGGAGAAAAAGCATCTTCAAAACAATCCTCAATGGAATTTGGTTCAACAAATACCTTCCGAGGACGTCTTGGACGTAGTCTCGGTTGATACTGCGGAGTGTGATGATTTGTAAGGAGTAAACGTACCTGATTTAGTTTATCCTCACAACGAGCAGCCTTTATCTTACAATTCAAGTCCATTGTTATATTATGAGAGTTAGTTGGATCATTTGTACTGGCAGTAACATTGTGAGCCCGTCCATTTTTATTTTGATCCTCAGACTTGGCATGCTGCCAAGCTTGGAGTGAGGGCGTCATTTCATCGAAATTGTGCTCGAAGCATTCGTAATACTGTGTAGGGGAGTTCGCGCGTTTATGAAACATAGCTCCTGACACGAAACTGAAAACGCCTGAAAAGAAGCTTGTTATGCCTGCTAAAGATGGATAAGAATCTATCCGGTGATCAGATGCTTCGACCTCTTTTCTTTTTTGATCATTAGGTAATGTTTTTGTTTCGGACGCCATATTTGTTTTTGTTTTTAACTCTCCTGTTATAATAGAATCAGCCAAATTTTTCTTTAGGGGATCAGGTATGAGATGTAAATTGCTTATATACAAACCGTCTCCAAATGTGTTTTTCATGTCTAATTTCATTTTAGTAGCGTCTGAAGAATAATTAGTTACTGAATGAAATGGAAAAAACCCAGTCCAATATAGAAGATTGCGCCTATTGCGCGAATCGCTCATATTAAAATTATTCATTGGTTAATCCGTAAACACGACCAAGTCTTGATATTAGGTCATTTTCACTCACAAAAATGTATTAATATTAAACCACTTAACAGAATGAGGTAAAGGCTTATAGACAAGTCTACAACACTTTATGCACTTTAAAGGCCGTAAGGAATTCCAGTCCCCTAAGTTTGATGATATCACGTTTTCTTCTGGACTACACTCTGTATCACCACAAGTAATGATGTTTGTCGTTACAAAATCTGAACAACTCGCGGATTTCTTTTCTCTGATAAATAAATTGATAATTTCCTCCATTATGCTCAAATTCACAATTTACACGTCTTTATAGTTCAGCCATTTTGTTAAAATGGTCATTCATCGAAAACAATGTGATTTATAGCAGCGATGTATCGGACTGATTCGATGTATCGTTATTCGTTAATGCTTTAAACTTCAAAACATCAATGTGTAGCGATGTTTTTTAAAAACATCCAATAATCTTTAACCGTCAGTAATATTTTACCTAATTTATTTGGTTTGTTTTTGGTCATGGGTTTGGCCAGCCCCATAAATATGCTACTCGAAACATTTATTTCATCAATAGAAGCGTAGGTCAAATATCAGTACATCAAATCATATATTTTATAGCATTGTTTTCTATTTATCAATGGTCAATGCTGCACGTCACGTTATCTCAACTACCCTACCCGTGTTTCCTTCTTAATTTTTGTATATACCTAATATAGTTATATCCTACAAACTAGATTGTCAAACTAAATTTACCAGTTCAAAATATTATTGGGATTAAGCATACATAAAAATTTATTACTAAAGTTGCTTTTGATTTATTACAGATATATGTGTTTAAAAATAATCCACGTTTATAATAATTGTATAAGCACTAAATATTTTAAGAAAAGCGATGAATTTTTCTAAGCAATGATGTATATAGGAATATGTTAGCGTATATATATATATATATATATATATATATATATATATATATAAGTATATTATATCTATAAGTATACTATAAGTTATTATATTATTGAGTTTCGCATAGATATACTACAGAGTTAACACTATAGAGTTTCGGCAGGAACTTGAACAACGAAGGATTGCTGCTCTTGTATTATTGTTTAAATAATGGTTTGAAGTGGATTTTGTCTGCGCATGTGAACTATTAGGGGAAACGGTGAAATAAGTGCTCTAATGTTGATTTGATTCTCAAGAGAAGGTGTTTGTCAGCTTAGACGCCTTGAAATACCATCGCCAACTGACAGCTGTCTGCTGGCTCAAGTTGCCGTCAAAATCTCCCAAGGCCTGCACAATGTGACGAATCAACATATTGTGAAGCAGTGTACTATGAAGGATAATAATTATATATTCTACTTCAGGCTCAGAAGGGCTAGAACCCAGAGCCGTAAAGCCAGTCATATAAAAAAAATATTATGGCCTCAGCCCATAGACTATGGAGTGTAGAGAGAAGGAGGACCATTGTAAATCTCTATACAATGAAAAGTGTCCCAAAAATGTGTCCAATAAGGGTGGCGCTGCAGTAGCATAGGATAAATAAAAAAAAGCGCCAAAAGTAATTAAAATAAGATGGAGAAATAAACAACGACCGACCAATCCGCTTGGTTTTGTACTACGTAAATAGTTGAGATTTTGTATACTGGCATTTTACTAACTACTCAAATCATGAAATTTTTTAAATATTTGAATTGAGCTGACTTCACTCTGTTCACAACAGCTATCTTCATATCGTAGTTTTTCAGACGCGGCGCTATTGTGGTAGGTTTTGGAACCTCTATTTTCAGTAAATAGTAGGACACTTTAACAACTTTCGCCCTTATAAGATGGTTCTCCTTGTACTCTACACTCCATACCATAGACATAGTATCTTAGTCAGTCATTCTTAGTCAGTCCTCTATCTACGCCTCAGCCTATGCCAAAATTACTATGTTGCTACTTGGTACACTGCGCTAGCACTTCTTATTAGTTTGTGACCTCAAAGTTTGTACCCCCCCTACCTCAACCTACAAATTTAGAGTATATGTATAAAAAAATTATTGACAGACGTATTTTAAATGGCACATCTCAAAACTATTAATTATTTAAACTGCATTGTGTAGTTTAGAAATAAAAAAATAGTTGAAAATCACTCACATTATAACGTTGATATTACGTCAAGAATAAGAATAGAGTATGAAATTTTTGTAGTATGAAAAAACTGCACCTAGCTTAAGTATAATTGCACCATCGTTAAAGTGCATTAAATTCAATATTAACTGCAAAAAGTTAAGAAAACCAAATTTGTTAACTGTCGACAAAGAGTATATAATCACTAGAATTACGGAACGGGACTTCCTAAGTAAAAGTAAATGTTTGAAAGGGCGCCAAGCTAACATCAAGACATGACATTTAATTACTCTCCCTAACTCAGCCTATAAATTTGAGGTGAATATAAAAAAAATACAGACAGACTTATTTTAAAAAGCAAATCTCAAAAATAATTATTGCATGCCTTAAGCGCAAAGCGTATAGGTATATGCTGGCGCATAAAAATCATAATTACAACATTTTGTCACATGAAATCGTATCTAACAATAGAAACAGAAACAGAAACTTTTTTATTCAATATAGATTATAAATAATACTTATTGAAAGTCACTCTTTTGTAAAATTACCACTGGTTCGGAAAAAACCTCTGTCCTGGGAAGAACCAGCAAGAAACTCAGCGGGACTTTTTTTAAATAACAGCTTACAATCATGTATCTTACACACATTAACAACACAACAAATTAGAAATAGCTTGGTAGTGATCACCTCATTTCCAGCGGTTATTATCATCCATAAATTCCTTAATTTTATAATAAACCTTTTTATACAAACTTAGTTTAATAAGATTTTTAAACTTTGAGCCGGTCAAAATTTGTATATTTTCTGGAATTTTGTTGTAAAAGCGTATACATCGCCCCAAGAATGAATTACTGACTCGATGAAGTCGAGTAACTGGTACTACTAGCTTGTGTCTGTTCCTAGTATTTACAGAATGAATATCACTTATTTTTGTAAAACTACGAGTACTTTTATTTTTGTGTACGTACATTACATTTTCATGAATGAATTGAGAGGCCAAAGTTAATACATAAATTTCCTTAAATTTTTGTCGCAGCGACTCTTTTTCATATTGCTCTTATGGCCCTCTTCTGTAAAAGAAATATAATTTCAGTGTCAACTGCGTGTCCCCATAGCAAAATACCATACGATACTATGGAAATAGCTAAAGTAAACTAGTCTAGCTGTTTCAACACTGGTTAGACTTCTAATCTTTTTTACAGCATATGCTGCAGAACTAAGTCTGCTTGCTAGTTTTGATATATGGGGGCTCCATTGAAGCTTCGCGTCTAGTGTGATTCCAAAAAAATGGTGGTATCTACAAGACTCATGTAATTTTAATTACATGAGTCTTGTAGATACCACTAATGTAATTTTAATTACCACTAATGTAGACACTAATGTAATTTTAAATGCTTCCCCATTTAAAATTACATTAGTATGTAATTGTTTGACATTTGGAGTCATGAATTTCATACATTTCGTTTTAGTACCATGTAAATGCAAATTATTAACATTGAATCAATTTACTAATTTAGATATAGCATTATTTACTTCGTCATATTTTAATAATTGTCGACTTAATTTGAAAATTAAAGAAGTGTCATCTGCAAATAGAATAGAATAGAATATTTTTTTATTCAATATAGATCACATGTGTAATTCTTATTGAAAATCATGTTTCACTTTACCACCAGTTCGAAAAAAAACCTCTGTCCTGGGAAGAACCAGCAAGAAACCCGGCGGGACTTTTTTTAAGCAAATTTTACAAACTATATAAGTACGAAATTTATTTTAGAAACAGCTCGGAAGCGATCACCTCATTCCCAGGGGTTATTATCAACCATGTATTCATTTATACTATAATAACCCTTTTTATACAGTTTCAACTTAACAAAACATTTAAACTTGGTAATAGAGAGAGCCTGTACACTTTCCGGAACCTTGTAATAGCGTATACATTGCCCCTAGAATGAATTACTGACTCTGTGGAGTCGAGAAACTGGTATCACTAGCTTGTGTTTGTTCCTAGTGTTTACAGAATGCACATCCCTTTTTTTACTAAAACTACCTTTGTTTTTGTGAAGATACATTAAATTTTCGTAAATATACTGAGAGGCCAAAGTTAATATATTTATTTCTTTAAATTTATCTCTAAGAGACTCTCTCGGTTTTAGGTTGTAAATAGCTCTAATGGCCCTCTTCTGTAAAACAAAAATAGTTTCCGAATCAGCCGCATTTCTCCATAGCAAAATCCTATAAGACATTAAGTATGCTATGGAAATAACTGAAATAAATAATAAGTTTAAGCGCTGTGTTCTTGAAACCATAGTACTGTAGCTTCCTAATTAATGTCTCATGGTGAACGCAGTCGAAGGCCCTGGAAAGGTCACAAAATATACCCAAAGCATCTTCTGAATTCTCCCATGCACAAAAAATATGTTTAATAAGCTCAACTCCAGCGTCAGTTGTCGAGCGACCCCTTGTAAAACCGAATTGATTTCTATGTAGCAATTTATTAATATTAAAGAAACTTAACATCTGATCTAAAATTATTTTATCAAAAATTTTACTAAATGTTGGCTGTACAGAAATTGGTCTAAAATTGGCGGGGTCTAATGTACTACCAGATTTAAATAAAGGTATGACTTTACTATGTTTCATTAAACCAGGAAACACACTAGTTTCTACGCTTGTATTAAATATAGTGGCTAGATAAGGTGCTATTATATCTATTATAGATAAAATAACTTTAACGGAAATCCCCCATAAATCTGCCGTTTTCTTAACATCAATAGTTTTAAAATATTTAACGATATCTTTTGGCAGTTCTCTATGGAATTTAAAAGTATTTGAACAAGCCTTTACATTTTGTTTGAGCAATGATTCGGCGACAGTAGGAGAAG